GCGGGCCCCGCGGAGCGCCCCCCCCGGGCTTCCTCTGCCGTCCCTCGTCTCTCGTCGTCTCGTCGTCCTCTTTCTTCCCTTGCTCCTTGCTCCTTGCTCCTCCTCCTCCTCCTCGTTCTCCTCCTCCTCGTTCTCCTCCTCCTCCTCTCTCCTCCCTCCCATCCTCCTCTTCCTCCAATCCCTCCTCCTTCCTCCTCCTCTTCCTCCTCCTCCTCCTCCTCCCTTTTCCTCTCCTCCCCTCCTCACTTCCTCCTTCCTCCTCCTCCTCCTCCTCCTCCTCCTCCTCCTCCTCCCCCCCCCCACCTCCTCTCTCCTCCTGCTACTCTCCTCCTTTGTCTCCTCCTCCTCCTCGTCGTCCGTCGTCGCCTCCTCCTCTCCTACTTCTCCTCCCTCCCCTTTGGGTCTTCCTCCTCCTCCTCCTCTTCGTACGTCGTCTTTCTCCGTCCCTCCTCTCCTCCTCATCCTCCTCCTCCTCCGCATCATCCTCCTCCTCGCTCCTCCTGCTCGCTCCTCCTCCTCGCTCCTCCTGCTCCTGCTCGCTCCTCCTGCTCGCTCCTCCTCCTCCTCCTCCTCCTCCTCCTCCTCCTCCTCCTCCTCGTCCTCCTCCTCCTCCTCCCTCCCCCGCCTCGTGCTTCAGCTTCCTGGTCCTCCTCCTTCCTCGTCGCCCTTCTCCTGCTCATCCGTCTCACCTCTCTTCCTCCCCCTCCTTCTCCTCGTCCTTCTCTTCCTTGTTGTGAAGGCCTTCCAGCCTGTGCCGCCGACCCTGATGGCGGGACCTCCCTGGGGACCCCCGCTGGCGCCCCCCCCCGGGACCCGCCTGGACCCAGGGGGCGGGGGAGGTATTCTGACCCAGGACCACCCTCCCCCACCACAGGCGGGACCTCCTTGCCAGGGAGGGGATGGGGTGGCCGCCAGGACCTCTGGGGTGGTGGTAATCTGACCTGGGACCCCCCGTACACCCCCCCCAAGCCCCCCTCCCCTTCGTCAGGAGGGAGGGGATAAAGTGAGGGGATCGACTTAACTACGTCGTTTGTTATTCCTGCTTGCTTCTGAATTTCCTTGGGACTGGCGACGCCGACGTTGACGAATATGGCGACAGCGTCTCACACGTTGAATGGTCGGCGGATTTTTCTCCTCGTCCTCCTCGTCGTCCTCCTCGTCGTCCTCCTCCTCCTCCTCCTCCTCCTCCTCACTTCTTCTCGTCATGATCCTCCTTCCTGGTTTGTCTCGTCATTGCCCTTCTCCTCCCTCCCCCGTCCTTCTCCGTGTCCTCCACCTCCTTCTCCTCCTGCTGCTCCTCCTCCTCGTCCCCGTCCCTCTCTCCCTCCCCCTTCTCCAAGGAGCGACTGGGGAGCCTCGCTGTCGCTCCAGTTTCGGCTGTTGCCCCCCCCCCCCCCCCGCCGATGCTCTCCCTCCTTCGCAGGCGGGGATGCCACATCCGTGCCACCGCAGCAGCCTGAGCAGCTCTCTGTGCAGTTATCTCTCTGCCCTCGTGCAGTGTCGCTCGGCGCGTCCTGGGCGACGCCCGACTGCTGCCGCGACTCCTCGACGCGGACGAGTACGCCTTCAGGCACAGGCCAAACTGTCATGAAGACTGGAGTAACTAGACTGGACTGGACTTGGGTGGACTCGACTTCACTCTACATACTCTACCATCCTCCGTATTTTATACTGCTTTACTCCTCCACCCTACCCGCTGAACATACCGTACCCTACTCTGCTTTACCCTACTCTACTATGTTCCAGCCTAATCTGATATACTCCTATCGTACTCTACTCATACTCGAGTCTACTCTTCGCTGCTCTACTCTACTCTGATCCCTCTCTGCTCTACTCTACTCTTTGTTGTTATCCTCTGCTCCTCTAATTCGGCCTACTCTACCCTGTTCTACTTGACCCTACTCTGCTCTACTCTACTCTACCCTACTCTACTCTACTCTACTCTACCCTAGTCTAGTCTACTCTACTCTATTTAAACTCTACTCTACGCTACTCTGCTCTACCTTTCTGGACTCTATTCTATCATACAATCCTGCCATCCACACTACCATATTCTGCTTGATTATGTCATACTACCCATCCCTATCCTACTCTACTCTACGTTACTCCACTACCTTACTGTACTGTGTTCTGGTCTACTCTACTCCTACTCTACTCCGACCCTACTCCTACTCTACTCTCTTTTATTCCTGCTCAGCACTACTCTACCTCACAGTACTCCACTCTTCGCTACCTACTCTCTCCTCTGCATCCTCTACTCTGCTCGGTTATACCCGACGTTACTCTAGCATCTTTTCCGCTCTATTCTGCTCTGTCCTACCTGTTTAATTCTATTCCGCACTACGCTACCCTACCTTACCCTATTTTTCTTTACCTCTACCTCCACCTCTACCACTACTTCTACCTCTACCTCTACCTCTACCTCTACCTCTACCTCTACCTCTACTCCTACTACACTCGACTCCTACTCTACTCGACTCCGCCCTCGTTTACTGCAACACGGGGGACTGTGCTTCCTCGCTGCGATTTTCGTTCCTTCATGGACTTCCAGTCGACGCTGTGCACGCATTCTGACACACACACACACGTTCAATAATTTCACGCTCTGAACGTGCACCTCTCTATTTCCGCGCTCTTCTTCTCCCCTTGTGTCTGCTGTGGCCAATTCGGCCCCGTTGCATGCCACAGCTACCCACGAATGCACTGAGGATATTCGCCGTTGTAACAAATAGTCTATTCTGCCCTGCTCTGCTCTAGTATGCTTTACCCTACTCTACTCTACTATAGTCTACCCTGCTTTACTCTGCTCTGCTTTACTCTGCCCTACTCTGCTCTGCCCTACCCTACTCTGCTCTGTCTACGCTTGTCTCCTCTATGCTACCCTACACTGCTCTCTTCTACCCTACTCTACTTCTCTCGACTCTTGCTCTCCCCTACTCTACGCATGTCTACGCTGCTCTACTCTGCGTTCTACTACTCTATTATACCCTACCTCTTTTACTCCACTCCTACTCCTACTCTGTGCTGCTCTAAGTATACTATTCTTCCCTCGTTAACCGGCCCTCTTCTCTGCTTTGCCCTACTCTATCCTACTGGTCTCTACTCTATTATATGCCCTACTCGATGCTGCTATCCTCTACTCCTCCCTACTCTACTCCACCCTGTCCGAGCGTACCCCACCCTGCCCTGAGGTTCTCTATTTTGCTCCTCTCTGCCCTACTCTTTCTCTACTTTCCTCTCCTCTCCTCTCCTCTCCTCTACTCTACTCTACTCTACTCTGCTCTGCTCTACTCTACTCTACTCTGCTTACTCTGCTCTGCTCTACTCTACACTACTCTACTCTACTCCATCCTACACTACTCTTCTCCATCTGACTTTTCTCTGCTCTACCTACTCCGCTCTACCCTACTCTTCTCTACTCTACTGCGGAATTTGACCATGGTTTGGCGATTGGCGGGGCGACATCGGGATATCCACACGGCGCAGGAAGCCACTGCAATAGCAGAACCAATTTAATCGCAGAGGGGGCCATTGCAATACCACAGGGAGCCATTGTCGGAGGTTGGAGGGTCAGGTCGAACTGGAAATGAGAGACTCCCACCGGGAAACCTGTTTCGGTTCCGTGTTCGATTCGCGCGTGCAGGCGAGGCAAAGCTGCATGTGTTGGCGAGAGGAATGAACCCTCTATTGCTAGGGCGACGCCAGGGCACAAATCCGCCCCGCCGCACGATTGGCGGGCGGGTGCCAGGGGTGTCCCGCCGTGGTGTTCCGACGGTGTCCTATGGTGTCCCGCGGTGTCCCGCGGTGTCCCGATGGTGTCCCGAATTGGTGTCCCGTCGTGGTGTCCCGCCTTGATGCATTTGCGGATGATGATGCTGATGATGATGATTCTGATGTTGCTCATGATGCTGCTGCTGATGATGATGGTGGTGGTGGTGGTGATGAGGATGCTGCTGATACAGATGATGATGCTGCTGATGATGATGCTGATAATCATGCTGATGATGCTGATGCTGATGCTGATAATGATGATGTTGTTGTTGCTTTTGTTGTTGTTGATGATGGTGATGATGATGATGATGCTGATGCTGCTGCTGATGCTGATGATGCTGATGATGCTAATGATGATGCTGCTGCTGCTGATGATGCTGTTGTTGTTGTTGTTGTTGTTGTTGTTGTTGTTGTTGAATATTATTACTTCTAAAGAAATATTATTGTTGAGACCCCTGGTGCGCGACCCCCCTCCAAAACCTAGGCCGCAGCCTCATTTCCTTCATTTTCTAGCGAAAGCTTCAGAAAAGTGGATTGTGTCCGGATCCGGTTGTTTTGTTGTAATCCGTTTTCCCTTGCAAAAAACACTATAAAATGAAAATTCTTGTTCTTACTTGATCAAATTGCAAGAATCCCTTGCAAAAAATAAGGTAAAGTGGACATTCGTGCGCGCAAGACGAAATCCTTCCAAAACCTTAGGTTTCGTAGCGATTTTAACATAAAAACATCAAAAACCCAATGTTTTTTTAAGAAAAAAATGTCAAAATGTCCTTCCGCGCGCGCTGTCCGAATCCCACAAAACCAATGGTTTTTTCAACATTTATGTTACATGAGCTCGCGCGAGCTACTTTTTCTTGTTCTAACATAATCAAATTTCAATAATCCCTTGCAAAAAATAAGGTAAAGTGGACATTCGCGCGCGCAAGACGAAATCCTTCCAGAACCTTAGGTTTCGTAGCGATTTCAACATAAAAACATCAAAAACCCAATGGTTTTTCAAAAAAAATGTCCAAATTTCATCCCGCGCGCGCTGTCCGACTCCCACAAAACCAATGGTTTTTCAACATTTATGTTACATGAGCTCGCGCGAGCTACTTTTTCTTGTTCTAACATAATCAAATTTCAATACTCCCTTGCAAAAAAAAGTAAAGTGGACATTCGCGCGCGCAAGACCAACAAAAAACACGACGATCTCAGGAACTTGCCCCAAAAATGTGACCAACTCCGCT